TTCTAGAATCAATTTTTCGATTATTTCTTATAGGATACGGGTTTCTCGAAAAACAAAATTTGATTTACTTAATATGGGGATATTTTTGAGTAGATAACTAACAGATAATTAATGAAAATAAAATGTTTTCTTTACATTCGATGATACATACAGTTTATACATTGCATACATTAGATTATTACATATTAGCTATTTGCTTTAACAGTCTCTGATTGAAAAATCGACCACAACGCCCCCACTCAGCCACTTATTTGTTAACTTTTTTAAAAAATGTTATAAAGAAGATAAAATGCTCCCTTTGTGCTAGTTTAAATATTTTTGAAGTCAATTTGATCAAACAAAAATAATTAGTACTTCCCTATAAAGGGTTAAAGTATAACATATCGTCCCCTATTTTACGTAAAGGCATAACTGAAAAATGAGTTACGCCACTTGAGACTTTCCTACAGGTACAACTTTTATCTCACTAAAGTGCGTTAACTCTGTCTATCACTGTATCAAGGAACTGACACTATTCGGATTCCTCTTATCTTGCAAAAATTACGAGATTAATACGAGTAATATTTTTATTTTCTTCTCAACTGACAAATTTTCTGCATTCGAGTTATGCCAATACGATAGATAGTGGATGATATGTATATACAGAGTATAAAAAAATATTGTACCAAACTAGAGGGGGTGATAAGAGATAGCAGTCTACACAGATGCTTCCGCAACATCAGGAGGCACAGGTATAGGCATTTTCTCAGAGGAACTAGACATCCAACAATCTTTAAGGCTATCGGATGGCTGTAATGTTCTACAAGCAGAGGTTTACGCCATAAAGGAAGCGGCTAGTTGTATACGAGAGAAAATTATTGATAGACTAATAGGGGATATCGTGATATACTCTGACAGCTTGGGCGCTTTAAGAAACATCACCATGCAATCAGTGAGATCGAAAACTGCAATGGAATGCCGAGAAGCACTGTCCTGGCTGCGTCACGGCGGGGCTACTCTGTGCTGGGAACCAGGCCACAGCCACGTGGGCAATCAGGAAGCAGACAGACTCGCCAAACAAGAGGGAAGGGGAGAGGCCGAGGCAGATTACCCACCACTTGTGACGATCAACACACTGAAGGAAGCTATAGGAACTGCCACCAAGGCCAAGCAGCAAGAGACGTGGCAACACCGTGAGGACTGCGCTACAGCTCGAAGACTATGGCCACTAGTAGATGCAAACCGACAAAACAACTACTAGACACAAAAAGAATCTAGTACGCATAATTGTAGGTGTCGTCACTGGAAACTGTCCCATGGGGGTAAACCTCTTGAGACGGAAAATTTCCAACGATGACTACTGCAGAAGATGCGGAGAGGAAGAAGAAACCATATAGCACCTGCTGTACCACTGTCCGGCACTGGAATACCGACGCTTTAAAACTTTAGGGCAAGGTTTTTTGGAGGGACTAGAGGAAGCAGCAGAAGCCAACATCAGCGACATCGGGAACTTTGCAAAGATCTGGAACTGCTTTAACGCGAAGAAATAATGAGAGGAATGTAGGTTTGGTACAACAATATAGGGGTATCGCAATGGGCCCAAGGCCTCCAAGTGAGGGATCAAACAAGATCCCAAACCCCAGCAACCTAACCTATAGAGGGGGATACTACACATCATAAAAATGAAACAAAAAAATTATATTAACATCTACATTAAGTTGCTTTCATCGGGAAATTACAGCCCTTAAAAGTGTAGGTTGCGCTACCATTTTCTTTGAAATTTGCTGTTCCTAAACACATATTTTAATGGCAAAGCGAATGGAGATACTGTAAAAATCCGTAACGGTTCTGAAAGGGTACTTCCCACTTTGAGTAGAGGGTAGTTTCTCATAAAACTTTTTTATCTTAATGGCTACAATAATTTTAACAACACAGGACATAAAAAGTTAAGATACATTTACGTAAGAAACTTTCAAACCATGAAGAGTTTTCAGGATATTTTATTATTTTATATTCCACACATAATATTTCTTCAATAACTTTATTAATATGAAGTTTTCTATTTACTGTGCAAACTGTTTGGCGCATACTGTACAAACTCGTCAAAATATTAATAGCTCCAAACACAATTACTAGTGGAATATGAACCAAAACAACAAATATTAAATTATCAAAGCGTAAGATAATAAACCTCTCTAAAATGTACTCGCGTTTAAAAATAGTTTCTGGATGTAAATTTTGGAATCACAATAACGTCGGCAAACTTCAGTTATTTTGCGTCAGGTTGTTTTGTGCTTGCCTTGCTGCATAATTAAACATTAAATAAATTGTACATTAATTTTCATTCTGTTTGCTTCCAGAGCTTAGGTTTAATGATAATATGCACTTTGTTGATATCGTCGGTAAACCCACGCAATGCAATTAACTCTGTTTATTTCTATTAATATAGTCTATTAACTTTTTCCTTGTGGCGATTAACTTCTTTCATTATTATTTTTAAAATTAAATATACACTCAGATGCAAAAAAACGCAACGGAAAAATTTTTCGTCAAGTTTAAAATGTTGAATCTGTTTTTTATTTTTAATCACATTTCTTTGATTTTTTTAACAAACTGTATAAAAATATATCAATTTTAATCGTAAACTCAGCTTATTATAAACTTCAGTATTTGACTTATTATACAGGGTTAATCGAAGAGTTGCTTTTTATTTTATTTTATTATTTATTTTTATTTTGTTCTTTAAAATAACTTGTGCAATAATTTCGTGAGCAAACTTTCCTTAAACATTATTTTTCGGTCAGAACCATCTCTCCTGAATATTTTGTTTTTTTCACTTATGTCTCGACATGCGTTGGTCCATTTTTAAGAGCAAAAGGGACTTTCTACAAACCTTTTGCAATTTTTTCAATTATCTTTACTTTTTGATGTTATTCTTCATAATGACAAGGCTTTGGTGATTATTGTTGTGTACGATTAAATATGGTCCTTAGTGTCGTAGATTGTGCAAAATTCATTGTAGGCCAGTACAAATAAGATCTATTATAGGAGTCACTTGGAAAAAAGTGTTGGAAAGCTAATAATGGTATTGATTTGTTCAGCTGACATGAGATAAGTATCCTAGTTTTGCACAGTTGCCCGACCGCCGCTCGACTCAGGACCGAAAGATGATAAAACTCTTGCACTTTTTTCAGATTTTCGCCTATAATTCCGAATCGTTGCATCCAGACGGAAAGTAGCTTGTCAGTAACTTTTACTTGTAAAACTAATTTTCTTAACAAAATTTTGTCCGGCAAATTTATTTTACGAGTAAAAAGCACTCACAAGCAAGTTTAAAAAGTAAAAGTAATTTGAATTCTACGCAGCGTTGTTTAACCAAAAATTACTTTTTTATTTTTTAGTATACTCTTCCGATGGATTTTTCTCAAGAAATAAATCATGGCATATTCTTACAAATACACTTTGAAGTCGAGGACCTATAGTTGCTCACAACAAATCTTTTTTAAACCTAATTGTTATTGTTTGATATTTTGGCAGGGATTATGATATCCTCTTCTCCGTAACTTGTAACATAAAAACCGAATTGAGCCTTACTGAGTTATGAGTATATGAAGGTATTGTAATATGTATCTGACTGATCTAGATCTTCACAAAAAAAAACTATCCGTAATCTTCATTAACGACGACAGGCGAGAAATGATCATCTTTCGGCGCATTTGAGCATGAATGTCCTTTACATTCAAAGTAGATCGCCGAACATTTCATTCCTGCTTTCTAACAACTGCAACGACCTCGGCGTCTCGTAGAGCACTTGCAGGACATGCTGTTGACTAAAAAAATGTTTGTAACAAAAGGCGCTATGAGAAATTGCTAGAAATTATTTTCAAGTTTGTAAAACGACCGCTAGAGGGCGCAACTGCTATGGAAAATAAGAAAATATGATTTTTCCAGAATTTTATCTAGATAATGGGTACTATAAATAATAGCATCATAATCTTCAGTAAATTTTAGATTTTTTTTGTTAGAACCATTTTCCCCTATCTGCTAAAATAAAGTGGTGGGGGAAGGTTAGGTCTATCTTTATTTAAATGTTAATAACTCCGGACTCTCTGGATCAGAATCCAATAAACAGGGGCTCGTTTAAAAGAGCGTTTCTTACTCTAAATTATACCGTAAAAATAACAATATTAAGGATTCGAAAGTAGACGCTAGTGGACGCTTTCTTACAATTTAACAAACATAGCGCGTTTTTTCGAAAAAAATTAAATACGATAGTATATGCAATTTTAGCTGATCGTAAAGAGTAGTAAAAGTTTAAAAAGTCTGCGAAAACCGCATTTTGATATCTTCTTTCAAACCGAAGATATTAGGAAAATTATAATAAATACCAAAAAATCAGCCCTTAATTACCTTATTTTTACAACACGGTATCAGTAGCCCTCTTGATTATGCCCATTCTAATAAAAATAAGATAGAAACAGTTAGTTTATTATAGACATATTGTCGATTATAAAATAAACTGTTTCTATCTTATTTTTTATATACCAGAATACCATAATACCAGATGTATTAATATCAAATAATTAAGATATTAATAACAGTGAACAAGAAACGATGATTCAGTGAAGTCATGGTAGGCAGGTAGTCTTAGCAGCGTTTTTTTATTTTTTAATTGCTTTTTCAAAATGCCCAACAACTTCAACTACTTCAAATTATAAAGGCATTTTGAACAAGCCATTAAGGGATAAAAAACGCTGCTAGGAAAATATTGATCTAATAACAATTTGACATTTATACTGGAACGTCAAAAGCAACTTTTTTCCAAAGCCTACCATGACTTCACTGAATCATCGTTTCTTGTTCACTGTTATTAATATTTTAATTATAAGATATTAATACATCTGCTATTATGGTGCTATTATAGTATTCTGGTATATCGTCATTCACACAACAACATTCTACTACTCTGGAAATAACAACCCAGATCACAGAAATGGAGTAGGCTTTATTGTATCGAGGAGATGGATAAATACGTAAGGAATGTTGTAGCTTACTCAGACCGAATTATACTTTTACAATTGAGTGCTAGACCGATGAACATCAATATACTGCAAATATACGCACCTACAGCAGACAAGGCAGAGGCGGAAGCACTCGAATTTTACGAACAAATTCGGGAAATCTTGCACTCACTGAAGCCCGAAGATATTAATGTGGTATTGGGCGATTTCAACTCAATAGTAGGTAGTGGAAGTGTAGAGGGAGTAACAGGGGCGTTTGGATTGGGCGACAGGAACGAACGTGGTGAAATGCTAGTCCAGTTCTGTCTTGAGGAAGATTTGGTTATTAAGAAGACATTCTATAAACTGCACCCCAGAAAACTATACCTGGAGGTCTCCACAGGATGAACAGGGAAACATTGTACGGAACCAAATTGACTATATTTTGATTAAAAAAGATACCGAAATAGCATTACGCGCGTTGCAGCCTACCCAGGGGCAGATATCGGCTCAGATCATAATCCTCTCGTTGCAAACTTCTGTTTTAGATGTAAATTGCTATGAAAACAACGAAGACCTCAAAAATATGATATTCAGGCACTAAGACAGCCCGGAGTACAGGAAAACCTGAAAATTGAACTCGACAAGCTTTGCCAAGAGAACGACCCTAGTCAGGAAATTACAGCTAATAATATCTGGAGTAAGCTGAAAAGAAACACAATTGCAGCCACAGAAACTGTTATCGGCAGACAGAAAAAAGTAAAATCCAAGCCTTGGATGACAGATGAAATACTGACTCTGATGGCTGATCGTCGAATTGTTAAAAACCAACAGGACAAATATAATGAAATAAATCGGAGTATCAAAAGGAAAATATTAGAAGCCAAGGAAAAATGGATCCAGGAAAAATGTGAAGAGGCTGAAAGACTCCATCAACTACACGACTCCTTTAACTTTCATAGGAAGATAAAAGAAATAACTGGAGAAAATAAAAGAAATACACTAACGTCAATCAAAAACAGACAAGGAACAACAATTCTAGATATAAAGGAACTGAACGATACATGGAAGAATTACGCGGAGGCACTGTTTTGGGATCAATGTACCCATAATCCTGCAAACAACTTTGGAAATATGGAAGGTCCAAAAATTCTTGAGTCTGAAGTCAGATACTCAATAGATTGTTTAAAGAACGGAAAAAGTCCAGGTCATGTTGATATATATGCTGAAGTTCTAAAGCAGACCGACATTAAACAGCTCACATATCTCTTTAACGTGATATATGATTCTGGACAAATCCCACAGGACTGGCTAAGTCCACGTTTATCGCCATCCCAAAGAAAACAAATCCCAAAAACTGCGGAGACCATAGACTCATAAGTTTAATGAGTCACGCACTTAAAGCGTTTCTTCGAGTCATCCATTCTAGAATATATAGTGTAGAGAAGAGATGAGTGACGACCCACAGTTCGGCTTTATCAAGGGTCTTGGCACTAGAGAAGCTCTCTTCTCTGTGAAACTACTTGTGCAGAAATGTTATGATCAGAGGCAAGATGTTTTCATCTGCTTTATTGACTATCATAGAGCCTTTAATAACGTAAAACACGAACCGTTGATGGAGAGACTACAGGAGATAGGCGTGGATGGCAAGGACATCAGAATAATTAAAGAACTGTATTGGCAGCAGTCGGCGGAGATCTGTATTGATGGTGATCGAACAACGGAAACCTTCAGCGTATTGAAGGGAGTTTGGCAGGGATGTGTACTATCACCCATTCTGTTTAACATCTACGTTGAGAAAATCTTTCAGATGGCCTTGGAGAGTGAGACGCGGGGTATTAAAGTCAATGGCATCCCAATAAATAATATCCGCTATGCAGATGACACCGCAATTCTGGCTAACAACCTTGAGGACCTCCAGATTCTGCTAAATAAACTGAACGAATGCGATGAACAGTTTGGGCTCCATATTAACGTTGCGAAACCTAAAATGATGGTGCTCAGCAAACACCAGTACAACACTCAAATTTCACCTATCTTGGCGCCTCCCTAAATGAACGGTGGGATTGCGATGAGGAAGTTAAAAGAAGAATCGGCCGTGCAAAAACAACCTTCTTTAAACTAAAGAATAAACTCCACTGGTAATAAATAAGGTAATTAAGGGCTTATTTTTTGGTATTTATTATAATTTTGCTAATATCTTCGGTTTGAAAGAAGATATCAAGATGCGGTTTTCGCTGACTTTTACTAAGCTTTTACTACTCTTTACTATCAGCTAAAATTACATAATATACTATCGTATTTAATTTTTTTGAAAAAAACGCGCTATGTTTGTTAAATTGTAAGAAAGCGCCCCTTAGCGTCTATGTTCAAAATATTATTATTATTATTATTTATTTATTATTTCTTTCTCAGTTTTAACTGGCTGTTATCCTGTTCTGGCCGGGATAGCTCCGCTTTCCTAGGGCCAGGCAGGTAGTCGATCAAGTAATACTTATTTTGTGAAATATTGATACAGAGGTAAAGAAATACACATAAAGGTAAGTATAAATTAAATTAATCTGCAATTGTTTTTCTTATAATATGAGCAGTGCCTAATATCGCTGTTTTTTGTAGATTTGCCAAGCTGTGTTCTCCTGGAAGGATATCTAAATATTTTGGGAGAGCCTTAGACACTACACCAGTAGCACCAATAACAACAGGTAATATTTTTGTTTGGGTATTCCACATTCTTTTAATTTCTATTTCTAGGTCTCGATATTTCACAACTTTTTCCGCTTCTTTTCTGCATACATTTCCATCAGCCGGAACTGCAATATCAATGAGGTAAGTTATATCTGGCATTCTTATTATGATGTCTGGTTTGTTGTTTGGTATCGTCCTGTCTGTGTTAATTGAATAGTCCCAAAGTACCCGTGTTTTTCCATCGGGAGTGTCACATACGGGTGGTGGGTCGTGTTTATACCATTGTTCAGCCGACATGGTTATATTAAGCCACTTACAGATGTTATAATGCAATTGGGAAGCTACTCTGTTATGACGGTTTAAATATTCTCTTCCTGCTAGAATCGTGCATCCCGATATTACGTGTTCTATCGTTTCATTATGTTCTCTACAGAGACGACATTTTGGGTTAGTTGACGTTTTATCAATCTTTGTTTTTATATAGTTAGTTCTTATTGCTTGGTCTTGTGCAGCAACTATCAATGCCTCGGTTTCACCTTTAAGCATTCCAGTTGAGAGCCAGTTCCAGCTATTGCAGCCATCAATATTATCTGACTGTTTTTTTATTTCTCTCTTGTGTTGGCCATGCAAAGGTTTCTTTTCCCAGGATTTAATTAGGTTTTTGTTTAAAATTTCTCTTATGTCGGATCTTCCGACTGTTGTGTTTTCTACATCTTCTGATATTCTGTATAATTCCTGTTGGAATTGCTCAGCTTTCCGCTGCAAAGACAAACTCGGCGCTTGATTTCTATCCCAATCAGCTAGCATCTGTTTTAGCGGGTCTCCAGAATCTGATTTTAAATAATTTGCTGTCGCAATTACGCTGCTCTTTAGTAGTGATTCTAGTTGAATTAGTCCTCTCCCTCCTTCTAACCTTGATACGTATAGCCTATCGATATCAGCTGCAGGATGATGTAGGTTAAACTTTCTTAGCAGTTTTCTTGTTTTCCGATCAAGTGCCTGCATTTCATACTTGCTCCAGTTTACTATTCCAAAACTATATCTTAGAACTGGGACTGCAATTGTGTTGACAGTCTCGATTTTAAATTTTGCACATAACTCGTTGTCTAGGGCCGATCTTAAGCGCTTAATATAACTTTTTCAAGTCGTTCTTTTTTACGGTTCTGTTGTTTGTACCAAGGCATTCCTCAAAACCTAGATATTTGTATGTTTCTGACGCGTCTAAAGATTTAACGCGTTGAAATGTCTCGCTGTTCATATTTTCTGAAGTGGCTAATTTTCCACGATGGAATCTTACTTTTGCGCATTTATTTAACCCAAATTCCATGCATATATCACTGCTAAATGATTTTGTTATTTGGAGCAACCTATCTAAACCTTTATCATCCTTAGCAAAGAGTTTGAGGTCATCCATATATAAAAGATGATGGATCCGTTTATTTTGTCCTGTTATATTATATCTCCTATACCCGTGCTCTCTAGTTCTTTAGGATAACGGGATCATTGCAATACAGAAAAGCAGGGAGACAGTGAGTCACCTTGATATATTCCTCTATTGATGTTTATTTCTTCTGTTTCAATATAGCCCGCGTTTGTTTTTAAAGAGATCTTTTGTTGTCCAGTTTTCATGGCACTAGTCAAAATTGAATAATAACATCATTAGCCCCAGCCAGTTGCAACGATTTCCCTATCCAGCTGTGAGGGATCGAATCGTAAGCTTTTTTATAGTCAACCCACGCTATACTTAGATTTTTCTTCCGTCGCTTACAATCTTCAGCAATTATGTTAGATAGTAATACCTGGTCTCTGCACCCCTGAGCATTTCTCCTACATCCTTTCTGTTCATATGGTAATATTTCCTGTATTTCTAAATGTTTATATAATTTATCAGCTATAATTCCAGTAAGAATTTTATATATGGTGTTTAAACAGGTTATCGGTCGGTAGTTTTTTGGATTTTCTGTATCACCGCTTTTGAATATTAATGTTGTTCGCCCGACAGTTAACCAATGGGGAATGTTTTCTGGATTATTTAGTATATAGTTGTAATTTCTGGCTAAACATTCGTGAGCTGCTGGTAAGCGTTTTAACCAGAAGTTCGGAATACCATATGGACCCGATGCCTTCCAGTTATTAGCTTTCTTCAAACGAGCTACAACCTCTTCTTTTGTTATGGGATTCCATTCCATCGGTGTTGTGAGTTTCTTATTTCTTTTTATCCATCTTGCTTTCTCATTGTAGTTTGCATCCGACTCCAAGATTCCTCTCCAAAATCGTTCCACATCATTTTTTTCAGGAAATTTCAACATACTATCATTATTGCAGTTTTTAAGTGTCAGTTCTCTAAACAGCTTTCCTTTATCTTGATTGAACATATTATTTTGTTTAAATTGCTTGTTTCTTTTTTCGTACCTTTTTATCCTGTATGCTAATGCTGATATTTTCTGTTTTAGGTTTTCCTTTGTGACAGCTAGTGTATTATTCGAAAATATAGATTGAGAATCCAGTAGGTGACGCTGTTTTACACTAATATTATGCCATTGTATACTTGCCAGTTGAGATAAAAGTTTTCTATATTTCTCTATTTTCTTTTGTATTCGCAATTTCCACGGTGGTGGTTTTCTTGTGCCTTTACTTTTTGTCGATGTTAATGTGTAGTGACGTTCTGCTTGCTTATTGTCAGTGGATACAACATAAGCACAGGCATAAATAAGTGCGTTTATTTGGAATAAGTCTAGATTATTATTTTCCACTAGTATATTCTCTAAGGCTTTGTTTGCGGATTGTATATTAGCCGAATATATTGTTGATTTTTTTAGTATTCTTTTACGGCTCTCAAGACTTCTTGATTGTAACAAATAAAATTCATCTCTAATTTTAGTTTCAAGCTCTTTCGTTTCTCTATCTGCATTTGTATTCTGTAGTTGCACTTCATCCCCTATTATTTCAATCGACCCTTCTTGAGCTATTTCCACTACTGGTGCAGTTATGTTAGGATTTTCGTTTCCTATTGGTTGGTCTCTAGATATGCATTCCCGATTATCTTGCATTAGTTTCTCAATTTGTTCTTTTATATTATCTATTTCCAGCTGGGTGATTTTTTTGCTCTTTATTATAAAGTTTTTTTGATTTAACAACTTTTTAGCATCCATGCTAGGCCGTGCGTTTGGGTTTCATGCTAGGCCGTTTTAGCATCCATGCTAGGCCGTTTCGTTTGGTTTATTATTATTATTATTATTACGGTATAATATAGAGTAAGAAACGCTCTTTTAAACGAGCCCTTGCTTATTGGATTCTGATCATCCAATCCGGAGTTATTGACATTTAAATAAAGACAGATCTAACCTTCCCCCACCACTTTGTGCTTGTATTTCTTCAGGACTATTGGCAATTAGGACTATGTCATCAGCGAAACTTAGATGGTTAAGATATTCTTATCTATTTTTAATCCTTTGTTGGTCCAGTCCAGTTGGCCAGTTGGAAAATTTCTTCTAATGTTGCTGTAAACAGCTTTGGGGATATCACCTCTCCCTGTCGTACTCTTTTGCCAGTTGTGAACTCTGATTATTTTCTCTTACAAGAGGTTATTTAATATATTTAAGCGCCTTGAATAGGCTTATTAGAAAAGTTATCCGTTGTTCTATAATTCTAGAAAATCAAACAGAAGTGAAATTAGGACTAAGTACACAAATTTCTAGTCGAGCTTATCAACTCTCGAAAACCCTGCGGTAATTTATTAAAACCAAAAACTAGAAGGGAATATCCCGACTTTATTCGCATACACCAAGCAAACAGAGGAGGACTACGAGCGTACACCGACCGAGAAACTGTTTAGAAAACAACCGCCGTCGTTCTGGGCCCTTGTTTGTTTATTTGCCCGGCCTGCCCGATCTTTTGATTGATAATTTTCCAGACCTTCCTCGCTCTAAGCAAATGAATGGCCGGGAGAGAATCGACCGGAACTTCATATTCTCCTTGTTTGTATTAATGTTTATCTTGGATGGAAAGGACGGGCAGCGGAATAAAGTGGAAAACTAGGTATCGGTAGAACGATCCGGAAAATAAAACGATTTAAAAAGGTTGTTTGACAGTGAAGATTTCTAAAATGTTAAATGGAAAATCATACTGGTATTAAGGTACAGAAAAGAAATGTTAAAAAATTATTGAGATCTAATCCAAAGTCGTTTAAGGGTTACTTCGTTTCTTGAAAAAATCCTCGGTATTTCCGTCAACAAAATATAAAAGTTATTTTCTACCACTGCCTTAGAATCCATATGGAAAAAAAATATGTGTGCACTATGTGCGCATATTTGAAGTAAAACTTCTTACTAACAGCTATTAAATTGGGGGATTTGAAGGACATATTTGAAAAATTGACAATTGATCTGTACATTTTCTGTTTCGTCAATAGCCTGCAAATTAAATAAATAAATAATAAATAAATAAATGCCTTTATTGTCAAAAAATTTTACAATTTGTAGACAAAAGAAAAGTAAACAAACAAAAGAGAATACAAAACAAGTATACAAATTACATTGTCAGTCTTATTGTTTAAAATAAACACTTATAAATGTTTACAATGTCAAAGAATAAAAAAATAAAAATAAGACTCAAAAATATTTAGTAAGTTTACACCTAGTAAATATAGTAATAGCAAATATTAGACCAGTGTTTACAAGATCAAATTCGATTATCAAAATATAAGTCATTTACGGCGTAGAAAGCCTTATCTAGTAAATAAGATTTCAATGCTTTGCGAAATGAAGAAAATTATGTTATGGATTTGATTTCAAATGGCAGGTGATTGTGCATTTTTTTTTCGAGTTGTATAATATTAAACTTTTAACTGGAGCGTGGGGTAGGTAAATAAAGATCTTGCTCCGCGTTCCTGAGTGGATAAGTGTGAGATGGCCTTTCTTGAGAATCTGATACTTGCTTACGTATTAGGCAAACGGATTAAAATATAAATAAGAAAGGAAGAGTTAATATTCTTAATTTTTTATAAAAGTCAAAGGTAAGTGCCCGGTGGCGTAGAGGTACAGGTTCTCGTCTACCAACCTCAAGGTAGTGGGTTCGAATCCCACACCCGGCATTTCATCAGCCGACTATTTTTATTAAAATAAAAATAGTTTGGGTACCTAGGTCGACTCAGCCTTAAATTAGTACTTGGGATTCACAATCCTGAGGTAATAATAGGCGGTTGAAGCGTAGTGCTACCCCACATTACCTTCCTTGTATACCGAACGGCTCTAGTATGGCAAGCTGTACCTTGCTACTCCCAAGGCGTTAAACGGGAGCTATTATTATTATTATAAAAGTCAAAGGCAATGAGTTCTGCTGTTTAGTCCGTGTGAATATCGAACAGCTCTCTTCTGGAGCTTGAAAATGCGGTTAAATTGAGTCGCATAACACGTACCCCAGAATGGAAGGGCATATCTGAGGTGCGACTCAAAACGTGCATAATAAACAGTTCTAGTCACTGACAAGTTAAGCTCCTTAGGAACAGCTTAATTTTTTCGACAAAGCGTCGATATGCATGTCCCATTTAGAGAATTGTCTACAACAAGTTTATGTTAATGTTAACAATGTCGTTAATAAAAAGGAGAAACAAAATAGGGTCTAGTACTGAGCCTTGAGGTACTCCACATTCTATTGACTTGCTAGAAGACAACGTAGTATCCACCCTCACAAGTGGACTTTTGTTGCTCAGATACGACTTAAACCATTCGAGAGATATCCTCCTGAACCCATAGTGCTGCAGTTTATTAATTAGGATCTTATGATTTACACAGTCGAATGCCTTAGAAAAATCACAGACCATGATACAGAAAAGAAACGTTAAAGAATTATTGAGATCTAATCAAAAGTCATTTAAGTGTTACTTCTTTTCATGAAAAAAATCCTTGGTATTTCTGTCAACAGAGATCTTCAAAATATAAAAGTTATCTTCTATAAAAAAAGGCCACTGCCTTAGAATCCATGTGGAAAAAAAATTGTGTGCGCACTATGTGCGCATATTTGAAATGAAACTTCTGACTGACTGCTATTAAATTGGAGGATTTGAAGGACATATTTGAAAAATTGCCATATCATGCTGTTCTAATATAAATGTTATTTTCAATTTATTTCTGTAATCTCTTAATCTCTCTAATTTATTTCTGTAATCTGTACATTTTCTGTTTTTCTCAATAGCCTGCAAATGTGGAATACCACCCAAAATACACATTTTATGCAAATGCCTAACAATGTTAACTAGTTATTCAATAATTTAACTAAAAAATAAAGTTTATTAATTTATTCAAAGATATTTATAGTGGTTTACAATAATTTTGTTAAATTATACGAATATTCTCGTTGATTATATTGGTTTGAAATAAATATCAAAGTAATCATGACACGACAAAAAAGGAATCCAGGATGTATCAAATCTAATAACATCTACATATGCTTCAGCTTTCAGCAATATACGTTTATTCATATTTGATTGGATTAGAATAGCCTCTTTTTTTGGTTTAAAAACTATCGGCTCGTTCATTTTTATTTTTTTGACATTATCTGCTTTATGGCCTGGGTTTTTAAAGGTGTTTAAAAAACATGTGCCATCTCTCGTGGGGAGATTCCTCACATAAAAATAAGATTTATTTTTAATATCAACCTGGGTTCGATGCTTCTTTGTCTCGTAGCTAGAGGAGGTTAAAGTCTTATTATAATTTTTAGTTGATTTATTATAATTTTTTTCTAAGTGGTTTTAGCGATTCGAATGAAATGGGAGGCACAACAACTGGAGGGCAAAAAAGTTACTATGAGTGTGACATATTTTAATATTAAAAATAGTGTCGACAGATTCAGCAAGGACGTGCGTATCACTGTAATATTTTTCTAAAAAGCATGTGCACCACTGACTTTGTATCCTCTTATTAACAAAAGTTTGTAGGCCATTTTTTAGTGCCGACTAAAAGTTGTATCTTGATATTTTGTCCATTTCGATCTCCTGAATGAAATAACCGCTATTCTATTAATCACAATCAGTAAAATTAAAATAAAATTAATAACCCCAATTAATATTTATATTGTTACTGAAACGAAGTAAATTCGCAAAAATTTCAAAATTAATATCAAATTGCTGTTTAAAAATGCATGCCCCTAAATAAATAATTTTAATACAAATTCATTTATATCTATTTAATTAGTATCCATTACAAAACCTAATAAATAATATACTTAAATATTAAATTAATGAAATATTAAATGCGATAATTATAAAATATTTATAACAGCCGATAGTAATTTCCTAATAGCAAAATTACATTTGATTGATAAGCATCGTCCGTATGTGTTTGTGAATATTTAATTTGGAAATTTGTTTTTGCTTTGAGTCGATTATTATAATTTCGATTAATACAAATATTATTCGTACAAAAGCTAATTCCAGGGTGGTTATCAATAGGTTTGTTCCAAGCCGCCGCGGAACCGTCACCGAACGATCACGCTCGTTCGCAGTAATTCAAATGTGTTCCAACCGAGATTTGACGGTTATCGGACGATCCTATTTGCATACCAACCTACCTCGGGATCGTTTAGTTACGATTTCAGAACGGTAATTTCGGTACATGGCCCAAATTGAGAACTGTTTGAGTTGACTTGCGCATTAAAGCATATTGGCAGGGATTATCGATTTTTAACAGCTGATTCTGGTCCGGCGTCCGGCTGATGATTCTGTCTTGGTTATTTTTTACGAATTCGAATACGTGTGCGTTATAATTTTGCTTGTGAGTTTGTGTGGACTAAAGCTTGATTTTCATGCATCCGTTATACGTTGATACGGTGGTCCGACGGTGCTCTGATTGGTCATAGCGTTTTTGCGTTACTTTTCATCCGTAATATTTTACTTCAGCCCGTCAACGAACCCGTTCATACGATAACGGACGTTTTGACTCTTTTTTGACAAATTTAATCTAACCTTAATAAAAATATAAGTAAAATAGCAAAATCGTTATGGAAACGAAAATATAAAATAACACCAACGTATATCCGATAAACGGAGGCATGAAAATACAATAAATTTAAAAACTGCGTTATTTTCTAACCAATCAAAGTCTTTAAATTCTACCAATAAAATTAATATCGTATCAAAGTATCGTCGGACAACAGA